CTGCCCCTTGCCCTCTGTCCCCGCCCCCTGCCTCTGCCCTCTGTCCCCGCCCCCTCTGCCCCCTGTCCCCGCCCCTCTGCCCCCTGTCCCCGCCCCCTCTGCCCCTGTCCCCCGCCCTCTTCTGTTTGTTTCAGATTTGTTTTTGTTAAATGTTTGTTGTGAAAGTGAAAGTGTCGCTGGTGTAAATATGAGACGTGTTTTTATTGTCGACTCAATAAAAAAAAAACTTCTGCTTCAACCAAAAAGTTTGTCCAATAAAAAAAAAAAAACTGAACAAAAAGAAGAAGAAGAAGAAGAAGACGACGAGTCGTGATCAGATTCAGAGTTTTGGTTCATGATTTTATTTTTTTCAGACGCAGAAAAATAAAACAGAAATTCATCAGAAAATCCACAAATATTTAACAGATCAGGACAGGGGCGCACCTGACACACGAGGAGGAGCGCACCTGACACACAGGAGCGCACCTGACACACGAGGAGGAGCGCACCTGACACACAGGGAGGAGGAGGGCACCTGACACACAGGAGGGCACCTGACAGTAAAATGTCTCTGAGGAGGAGACACGTCACATTTATTTCTTCTCTTTTCCCTCCTCTCCTCCTCTCTCTTCTTCTTCTTCTTGTTTCTTCTTCTTCTCTTCTCGTTCCTTCTTCCTCTCGTCTTTCTTCTTCTTCAGTTCTTTCAGTTCCTCGTGCAGATGTTCTGTCGTTTCCTCGTCTCCTCGACTTTTGGACAAACTCAGAGCCTCGTGGTAAAACGTCGCCGCCGCCTCCAGGTCTCCTGCAACACAAAGAGGAGCGACCTGAGTCACCGCGACCCGAGTCACCGCGACCCGAGTCACCGCGACCCGAGTCTCCGCGACCCGAGTCTCCACGACCCGAGTCTCCACGACCCGAGTCTCCACGACCAGTCTGAATGGGCGTCGCTGTAGTGTTTCCGTCGAAACTGCCCAAGACGCAAAACTCTGGTCATATGTGCTCAGGTCATGTACATGTTTTCATCATACACACACAGGACACACACACAAATCTGACACACACACACACACAAACCTGACACACACACACACACACTGACACACACACACACACACACACACACAAACCTGACACACACACACACACACACACACAAACCTGACACACACACAGGACACACACACACACACACACACACAGTGGAGTCTCACACACTTTTGTGTCACTGCACATTTCCTCCTGAAAAGTCTCGACTAAACAGTAAAACTTTCAGTTCAAACGTCGTCATAGAAACGTAAACTCAAATAAATGTGGGCGGAGCCTGAGGACACTGACCCGTGTGTGCGTGGGGACACTGACCCGTGTGTGCGTGGGGACACTGACCCGTGTGTGCGTGGGGACACTGACCCGTGTGTGCGTGGGGACACTGACCCGTGTGTGCATGGGGACACTGACCCGTGTGTGTCTGGGGACACTGACCCGTGTGTGTCTGGGGACACTGACCCGTGTGTGTCTGGGGACACTGACCCGTGTGTGCGTGGGGACACTGACCCGTGTGTGTGTGGGGACACTGACCCGTGTGTGCGTGGGGACACTGACCCGTGTGAGTATGGGGACACTGACCCGTGTGTGTCTGGGGACACTGACCCGTGTGTGCGTGGGGACACTGACCCGTGTGAGTATGGGGACACTGACCGTGTGTGTCTGGGGACACTGACGTTGTGTCTGGGGACACTGACCCGTGTGTGCGTGGGGACACTGACCCGTGTGTGTCTGGGGACACTGACCCGTGTGTGCGTGGGGACACTGACCCGTGTGTGCGTGGGGACACTGACCCGTGTGAGTGTGGGGACACTGACCCGTGTGTGCGTGGGGACACTGACCCGTGTGTGTGGGGACACCCGTGTGTGTGGGGACACTGACCCGTGTGTGTCTGGGGACACTGACTGACCCGTGTGTGTCTGGGGACACTGACCCGTGTGTGTATGGGGACACTGACCTGTGTGCATGAGGACGGCGGCCAGGTTACACAGGAGCACGTGCAGGTCCGGGTGCTCGTGGGTTCGGCCCAGATCCACGGCTCTTTGGACCAGAACCAGAGCCTCCGAATGATTCCCACGAAGATCCAGAACCGACGCCAGATCACTGAGAAGAACCAACGTCTGAAGAAGAAACGACCAGAGGACCAGAGGTGAGGAAGACACGACCAGAGGTGAGGAAGACACGACCAGAGGTGAGGAAGAGGAAGAGGAGGGTGAGTGGAACGTCTGACCTGAGGATGCTCTGGGCCCTGCTCTTCGCTGCAGATCTTCAGACTCTTCCTGTAGTCTTCTTCAGCGCGCTCCAGGTCAGAGACCTGAGTCCAGAACCGAGCCCTCGAGTCCAGAGCCAAACCCAAGAGGAGCCTCGAGTCCCGACGCAGAGTCTGAGCCTCCTCTGAGGAACACAGCAGGTTCTAAAGGAGAACACCTCAGAGACCAAACTGTCTGACAGGAGCTCACCTGTCGCCTCACCTGTCGCCTCACCTCACCTGTCGCCTCACCTGTGGACTCCTCTGTCGTCTCCTTCGCCTCCTTCGTCTCCTTCGTCTCCTTCATCTCCTCTTCTTCTTTCTCCAGTTTTTCCTCCAGCGTCTCCACACAAAACCTGAAGCCGTGTTCTGCCAGGGACAACCTGAAACACCAGACCAACAGACAGGTGCACAGACAGGTGCACAGACAGGTGAACAGACAGGTGAGACAGACAGGTGACAGGTGCACAGACAGGTGAACAGACAGGTGAACAGACAGAGGTAACAGGTGACAGACAGGTGAACAGACAGGTGAACAGACAGGTGCACAGACAGGTGAACAGACAGGTGACAGACAGGTGAAGCAGACAGGTGAACAGACAGGTGAACAGACAGGTGAGGAGACAGGTGAACAGACAGGTGAACAGACAGGTGACAGACAGGTGAACAGACAGGTGAACAGACAGGTGAACAGACAGGTGAACAGACAGGTGAACAGACAGGTGAACAGACAGGTGAACAGACAGGTGAGACAGGTGAACAGACAGGTGAACAGACAGGTGACACAGGAGACAGGTGAACAGACAGGTGAACAGACAGGTGACAGGTGACAGGTGAACAGACAGGTCAACAGACAGGTGCAGACTGAGACAGGTGAACAGACAGGTGAGACAGACAGGTGACAGACAGGTGAACAGACAGGTGAACACAGGTGCACAGACAGGTGAACAGACAGGTGACAGGTGAACAGACAGGTGAACAGACAGGTGAACAGACAGGTGACAGACAGGTGACAGACAGGTGACAGGTGACAGGTGAACAGACAGGTGAACAGACAGACAGGTGAACAGACAGGTGAGACAGACAGGTGAACAGACAGACAGGTGAACAGACAGGTGAACAACAGACAGGTGAACAGACAGGTGAGAGGACAACAGACAGGTGACAGGTGACAGACAGGTGAACAGACAGGTGAACAGACAGACAGGTGAACAGACAGGTGACAGGTGACAGACAGGTGAGACACAGGTGAACAGACAGACAGGTGAACAGACAGGTGAACAGACAGGTGAGGAGACAGGTGAACAGACAGGTGAACAGACAGGTGAACAGACAGGTGAACAGACAGGTGAACAGACAGGTGACAACAGACAGGTGAGACAGGTGACAGGTGAACAGACAGGTGACAGACAGGTGAACAGACAGAACAGACAGGTGAGACAGGTGAGAGGACCAACAGACAGGTGAACAGACAGGTGAACAGACAGGTGAACAGACAGGTGAACAGACAGGTGAGAGGACCAACAGACAGGTGAACAGACAGGTGAACAGACAGGTGAACAGACAGGTGAACAGACAGGTGAACAGACAGGTGAGGAGACAGGTGAACAGACAGGTGAACAGACAGGTGAACAGACAGGTGAGAGGACCAACAGACAGGTGAACAGACAGGTGAACAGACAGGTGAGAGGACCGGTGAACAGACAGGTGAACAGACAGGTGAACAGACAGGTGAGAGGACCAACAGACAGGTGAACAGACAGGTGAGACAGTGAACAGACAGGTGAACAGACAGGTGAACAGACAGGTGAGGAGACAGGTGAACAGACAGGTGACAGGTGAACAGACAGGTGAACAGACAGGTGAACAGACAGGTGAACAGACAGGTGAACAGACAGGTGAACAGACAGGTGAACAGACAGGTGAACAGACAGGTGAGGAGACAGTTCTGCAGTGAAAAATCCCCTTCTGCCCAAAATCATGACTGACAGGGGCTGATAGGAGCTGGCAGGTGCTGACAGGGGCTGACAGGTGCTGTGTTCATAATCTTGCTCTCAGCTCTAAATCCTGTTGTTATGCTGAATGGCAGCACCTGTCGGGAGTGGCAGGGGCAGCACCTGTCGGGAGTGGCAGGGGCAGCACCTGTTCTGTTGGGCGTAGATGGCGGCGAGTTTGAGCGACGTCTCGATGACGGCGTTGTCGTTTTCTGGAATCCCCCGAGACAAAAGGATCGACAGGGACGACTTAAACAGACGCTCCGCCTGAAAGTACACAAAGTACTACAGTACTACAGTACTACAGTACTACAGTACTACAGTACTACAGTACTACAGTACTACAGTAGTTCTGGCTGCCCCAGGGCAGCTGTGGCTACAACAGAAGTTTATCATCACCAGGTACAGAGTGAATGAAGAATGATGAATGACTTTGTAGTAATAGTACTTTGTACTTTGTAGTAATAGTACTCATATTAGAGTCAGTACCTCATTTTTATCTAAAGAGTAAAATTTTACTTTGGAAACTCAGAAAAAACAATAATAATAATAATAATAATAATAATAATAATAATAATATTAATATTATTAATAATAATAATAATAATAATAATAATAATAATATAATAATAATAATAATAATAATATAATAATAATAATAATAATAATAATAATAATAATAATAATAATAATAATAATAATAATAATAATAATAATAATAATAATAATGACACAGAGGTGGAGACTGACCTGGTCCAATTGTCCACGAACAAACGCCAGGTTCGCCATCTGTAACACACACCTGTCAGACAGGTGCAGACAGGAGCAGACAGCAGACAGCAGACAGGGGCAGTACCTGGCTGTAGCAGTACAGCAGACACAGACAGGAGCAGACAGGTGCAGACAGGGGCAGTACCTGGCTGTAGCAGTACAGCAGACACAGACAGGGGCAGACAGGAGCAGACAGGGGCAGACAGGGGCAGACAGGAGCAGACAGGGGCAGACAGGAGCAGACAGGAGCAGACAGGAGCAGACAGGGGCAGACAGGGGCAGTACCTGGCTGTAGCAGTACAGCAGACACAGACAGGGGCAGACAGGGGCAGACAGGGGCAGTACCTGGCTGTAGCAGTACAGCAGACACAGACAGGGGCAGACAGGGGCAGACAGGGGCAGACAGGGGCAGTACCTGGCTGTAGCAGTACAGCTGGGCGTCCTGGTGGTGGAGCTGTTGGGCCAGAGCCAGAGCCTGATGAAGGAAACTCGACGCAGAAACCAACTGATCCCGAAGAAGACTGAGCTGAACCAGAACCAGGACCAGGACCAGAACCAGGACCAGGACCAGGACCAGGACCAGGACCAGAACCAGAACCAGGACCAGAACCAGGACCAGGAACCAGGACCAGGACCAGGACCAGGACCAGACCAGGACCAGGACCAGGACCAGAACAGAACCAGAACAGAACCAGGTCAGGACCAGAACCAGGACCGGGTCTAAACCAGCACTAAACAAGGATTAAATCAGGACTAAACCAGGACTAGACCAGGACTAAACCAGGACTACACCAGGACTAAACCAGGACTACACCAGGACCAGGACCTGGACCAGGACTGACCTTGGCCTTCTTGAGCAGCAGAATCATCTCGTCTTCTTTCTTCTGAGCTTCATCTCGCTCGTCCTCCTCACTCCGACCAAACAGAGAGAACGCTGAGGAACAAGACCAGGACTAGACCAGGACTAGACCAGGAGACCAGACCAGACCAGACTGACCAGGACCAGGACCAGACCAGGACCAGGACCAGACCAGGACCAGACCAGACCAGACCAGGACCAGACCAGACCAGGACCAGGACCAGACCAGGACCAGACCAGGAACAGACCAGGAACAGACCAGGACCAGACCAGGACCAGAATCAGCAGCACTTACCTAGACCAGGCCACAGCACTGCTCCTGCATGTCTCCTCTCTCCTTGTGTCCTCTCTCCTTGTGTCCTCTCTCCTTGTGTCCTCTCTCCTTGTCTCCTCTCTCCTTGGTTCCTTACACAAAATGAAGAAAAAAAATCTCACGAAATTTCATTTTTTTGACACAAAAAAAGAACGAAAATAAAAAAGAAACTGTCACAAAAATATTTAAACAACCGACAAAAAAAAACAGAACTGAACCAGGACTAAACCTGGACTAAACCAGGTCGAAACCAGGACTAAACCAGGTCTAAACCAGGACTAAACCGGGACTAAACCGGGACTAAACCGGGACTAAACCAGGACTAAACCAGGACTGACCCGGGTCCAGGTTCTGCTCTGGGTTCTGGCAGGTGACACCTGCACGGCGCGTGCCCCTGGACTCACCTGCACGTGAACGCGCGGTGCGTGTGCGTGAGGTTCGGTCCGGTGCGCGCGCACCTCCCGGTGACCGCGAGCGCGGTCCGGAGCGCGCGGCACACGCACGCGGCCATCTTCTGTTGACACGAGCGCCGGAAGTACTCTACGTCACGAGGCGAAACTTCACAATAAAAGCCCGCGGAAAAATCACGGCGCTCTAACCTGGATCTGTCAAAATAAAACAGAAACACGCGCAGTAAAGTGAGTCTGCGCATGCGTGCGTGAGGTTTCCACGTGAAAAAGACGATGAAAAATACAAAAAAAAACAAAAAAAAACTACGTCTTTCGTTTTGAAACATTAACGAGTCTTTTAAAAGTCAAACTCGAGTCACCAGCGCCAGAAATCAAAACATGAACTGAAACGACACGAGTCAGTCGTTTGTGTTTCGTTTGTGTTTCGTTTGTGTTTGTGTGTGATGTTTTCATTTGCATGAGTTTATTTCTAAAAATATTATTTTTGTAGAAATTATATGACGTCATTTCCGCTCAGCTGACGACTGTAGATGTATTTGTGTGAACGTGACGCGCACCAGGGGGCGTGTGAAAGGAGCTTCGTTCAGCTGTCGGTGGAAATATAAATAATAAATATAAATAAAGTTTGATCTGTTTATTGACTATTTACTGTCGTCTTGGAAAATTGTGTTTTTAAAATATATTTAAAATTTATTGGGATTTTTGTGTGTTTATTGTGTGTTTGTGTGTGTTTATTGTGTGTTTATTGTGTTTGTGTGTTTATTGTGTTTATTGTGTTTGTGTGTGTGTGTTTATTGTGTTTGTGTGTGTTTTGTGTTTGTGTGTGTTTATGTGTTTGTGTGTGTTTATTGTGTTTGTGTGTGTTTATTGTGTTTGTGTGTTTATTGTGTGTTTGTGTGTTTATTGTGTTTTAAAAGTCAAACTCGAGTCACCAGCGCCAGAAAACAAAACATGAACTAAAACAACACGAGTCAGTCGTTTGTGTTTCGTTTGTGTTTCGTTTGTGTTTGTGTGTGATTGTTTCATTTGCGTGAGTTATTTCTAAAAATATTATTTTTGTAGAAATTATATGACGTCATTTCCGCTCAGCTGACGACTGTAGATGTATTTGTGTGAACGTGACGCGCACCAGGGGGCGTGTTAAAGGAGCTTCGTTCAGCTGTCGGTGGAAATATAAATAATAAATATAAATAAAGTTTGATCTGTTTATTGACTATTTACTGTCGTCTTGGAAAATTGTGTTTTTTAAATATATTTAAAATTTATTGGGATTTTTGTGTTTATTGTGTGTTTGTGTGTGTTTATTGTGTTTGTGTGTTTATTGTGTGTTTATGTGTGTTTGTGTGTGTTTATTGTGTTTGTGTGTGTTTATTGTGTGTTTGTGTGTGTTTATTGTGTTTTGTGTTTTGTGTGTTTGTGTGTTTATTGTGTGTTGTGTGTGTTTTTGTGTGTGTTTGTGTGTGTTTATTGTGTGTTTGTGTGTGTTTATTGTATGTTTGTGTGTTTATTGTGTTTGTGTGTTTATTGTGTTTGTGTGTTTATTGTGTGTTTATTGTGTGTGTTGTGTTTGTGTTTTATTGTGTGTTTTGTGTGTTTGTGGGACGAGCCTCTAAAATCTACAAAATGAAAAAAATCGACCGAAATGGTAGAAAAAAGATTCACAAAGTGAAACGTGTGTCCAGTTCCAACATGGCGGCCGAGCTGTCGGGACGGCCATGTTGGGACTGGACACAGCTCCGCCCCTTTACAAACCCCAAACATTTTACTTCCGTTTTTATTGGAAAATTCTGTCACACGAACAAACTCAAGACCAGTCCTGGTTTAGTCCTGGTTTAGTCCTGGTTTAGTCCTGGTTAAGTCCTGGTCAGTCTTGGTTAAGTCCTGGTTAAGTCCTGGTTTAGTCCTGGTTTAGTCCTGGTTACCTGGTTAGTCCTGGTTTAGTCCTGGTTAAGTCCTGGTTTAGTCCTGGTTTAGTCCTGGTTCAGTCCTGGTTTAGTCCTGGTTTGGGGACAGGGTTAAAGCTCCAGTGCGGGACATTTCGTGGGCTCAGGGAGGAGGAGAGTCGGTTCTGAGAAAAGTGCATTTATTTATTTATTTATTTCAGCTGCATTTTTTTTTACAAACGGCAACAACTGATGACAACTTCCTGTTCAAACTGTACAAACCCCGCCCACTGTCAATCAAAACTAGAAAACTCAAAACGGTTAAACGCCGCCCAACTCAAAAACCGTCCAATCAGAGTGAAGGAGCCCGCGAGGAGCCGAGGGAACCGTCCACTCAGAGCAGAGGGGCCGAGAGAGCCGTCCAATCGGAGCAGAGGGGCCGAGAGAGCCGTCCAATCGGAGCAGAGGGGCTGAGAGAACTGTCCAATCGGAGCAGAGGGGCTGAGAGAACTGTCCAATCAGAGCAAAGGAGCCCGCGAGGAGCCGAGGGAACCGTCCAATCGGAGTGGAGGGACTGAGAGAACCACCCAATCGGAGAAGAGGGTGATCAGTTGGACTCTGAGCTGCTCTCTGATTGGCTCCCGGGCTCTGAACTGATCTGTGATTGGCTCCCGGGCTCTGAGCTGCTCTCTGATTGGCTCCCGGGCTCTGAGCTGCTCTCTGATTGGCTCCCGGGCCTCAGTCGGACTCTGATTGGCTGGACTCTTCACTCGATGTGCCCTCTTCGTCGTCCTCTTCGTCGTCGTCGTCGTCGTTCTGAAACAAACAAACAAACAAAAGTGAGGAGGCGTGTCCCTCACAAACTCTGAGCTTCAACATGTTCTAAAGTTCTAAAGTTTTAAAGTTTTAAAGTTTTAAAGTTTTAAAGTTCTAATCTCCAAACTCTCTGTTCCACCTTGTGATGTCATCAAGTGAACAGCTCCTTTTCCCTTTAGTTCAGTCGAGGTCGGTGGTTCCAGGACTGAAATGTTCCAGATGATTCTAGTGAAGGTGTGTGGAGTTTAAAAACACAGTGGAGCACTTCCTGTATCACCACACGATGACATCACCAGGTGGAACAGAGAAAAGCGCTGACCTCGTCGTCGCTGTCGCTGCTCGTCTCGTCGTCGTCGTCGGAGTCGGACGAGTCGCTCCGATCAGAGTCCGAGTCCGACAGGTCCTGCTGAGAACGCACAAACAAACACACAAATACACACACAAATACACACACAACACACACACACAAACACACACACACACACACACACACACACACACACACACACACACACAACACACACACAAACACAGACACACAAACACAGACACATGGTTTACTATTAATTAACCCAGAACTGAAATTTAAACAATCGTCCACTCCCTGGTCCAGTCTTGGTCCCGGTCCCGTCCCGGTCCAGTCCCGGTCCCGTCCCGGTCCGTCCCGGTCCAGTCCCGGTCCAGTCCCGGTCCAGGTCTCACCTTGGCCCGGTAGGCCATGCTGCGCTTGTGTTCTGCTGCTGTGGTCTTGGATCCTTGGGCCTTGGTTTTGGCCGTGACTCGGATTTTAGCAACTGGAGACCGGACCTTAGTCGAGCTGCGCCGCTTCTGCAAACCAAACAACAGAGTTTCTGAACGGAGTTTGTGAACGGAGTTTGTGAACGGAGTTTGTGAACGGAGTTTGTGAACAGAGTTTCTGAACGGAGTTTGTGAACAGAGTTTCTGAACGGAGTTTGTGAACGAGTTTGTGAACGGAGTTTGTGAACAGAGTTTGTGAACGGAGTTTGTGAACAGAGTTTCTGAACGGAGTTTGTGAATGGAGTTTCTGAACGGAGTTTGTGAATGGAGTTTGGGAACAGAGTTTCTGAACGGAGTTTGTGAACGGAGTTTGTGAACGGAGTTTGGGAACAGAGTTTCTGAACGGAGTTTCTGAACGGAGTTTGTGAACGGAGTTTGGGAACAGAGTTTGTGAACGGAGTTTCTCAGCAGGTCTTTTCTTTCTTTACTTTTATTTTGTGAAACACAGAAACATCGACAAAAGTCTCAGAGGCAGAACAAAATAAAAGCTTTAAATAAATAATGAAAAACTGTTTTATTTTGAAGGAGACTCACTGTGGACGACGTGTAGACGGCTCGATCCTGAGGAGACAACGTCTGCAACAAGAACAGAGTTTAGACCCGCTCAAGTCCTGGTCCAGTCCCGGTCTAGTCCTGGTCCAGTCCCTCTCTTTAGTCCCGGTCCACTCCTGGTTTAGTCTTAGTTTAGTCCTGGTTTAGTCCTGGTCTAGTCCCGGTCCAGTCCCTGACCTGGACCCAGGCGTCGAGCTGGGCCCGGTCCAGTCCCGGTCCAGTCCTGGTCTAGTCCCGGTCCAGTCCCTGACCTGGACCCAGGCGTCGAGCTGGGCCCGGTACTCGGCCTGCTGCTCCTCCACTTGTCTCTTGTACTGGTCCTTGAGCGTCGGACTGAGTCGCTGCCACCGTTTCCCGATCTCCACCATCCGCTCCTTCAGACTGAAGTGATTCAACTCACCGTTGGTCAGCAGCTCCTGCGAGAACATCTCGTACCCGCTCCTACAGAACCAGAACCACAACAGAACATCTGAAACCCGCTCCTACAGAACCAGAACCACAACAGAACATCTGAAACCCGCTCCCAGTTTAGTCCTGGTTTAGTCCCGGTTTAGTCACTGATTTAGTCCCAGTTTAGTTCTGGTTTAGTCCCAGTTTAGTCCTGGTTTAGTCCTGGTTTAGTCACTGATTTAGTCCCGGTTTAGTCCCGGTTTAGTTCTGGTTTAGTCCCAGTTTAGTTCTGGTTTAGTCCCAGTTTAGTTCTGGTTTAGTCCCAGTTTAGTCCCGGTTTAGTTCTGGTTTAGTCCTGGTTTAGTCCCGGTTTAGTACTGGTTTAGTCCCGGTTTAGTCCCGGTTTAGTACTGGTTTAGTCCCGGTTTAGTCCCGGTTTAGTACTGGTTTAGTCCCGGTTTTGTTCTCACACAGGCGGTTTCTTGGGTTCTCCGTCAAACTTGGGCTTCCTCTGCGTCTGCGTCGGCGTCGCCACGGCAACAGCAGGACCTCGCATCTCCAACAGCTCCCTCTGCAGAACACACACGGAACAGCAGCTTTAGAACACGACAGAACGCAACGGAACACGACGGAACGCGATGGAACACGACAGAACGCGACGGAACGCGACGGAACGCGACGGAACGCGACGGAACGCGACGGAACGCGACGGAACACGACAGAACACGACAGAACGCGACGGAACGCGACGGAACACGACAGAACACGACAGAACACGACAGAACACGACAGAACGCGACGGAACGCGACGGAACACGACGGAACACGACAGAACACGACAGAACACGACAGAACACGACAGAACACGACGGAACACGACGGAACGCGACGGAAACCGACAGAATGTGACAGGACACGACAGAACACGATGGAACGCGACAGAACACCTGAGAAAGCGACAGAACATGTGTACAGTGACCCCTGCACACGTGTGCAGTGACCCCTGCACACGTGTGCAGTGACCCCTGCACACGTGTGCAGTGACCCCTGAACGGTTCTTTTGATTTTTCACCTCGTATCTTTTCTGATCTTCTGCTGCTTTTTTGATCCACGGAATCTTCTCCTTTTTCTCCATCGACTTCCACGACGCCTCCATGGCCGCCTGCGCCTTCCTCCGGTCGCCCTGTCGACAGGGACCACCTGTCACACTCTGCTCAACTGTGTGTTTGTGTGTGTTTGTGCGTCGTGTGTCATTGTGTGTGGTTGTGTCGTTGTGTGTTGTTGTGTGTCGTTGTGTTGTGGGTTGTGTGTCGTTGTTGTGTTGTGTTGTTGTGTGTGTTGTGTGTGTTGTGTGTCGTTGTGCGTCGTTGTGTGTTGTTGTGTGTGGTTGTGTTGTGGTTGTGTGTTGTTGTTGTGTTGTTGTGGTTGTGTGTCGTTGTTGTGTGGTTGTGTGTGGTTGTTGTGTTGTGTTGTTGTGTGTCGTTGTTGTGTGGTTGTGTGTCGTTGTTGTGTGTTGTTGTGTTGTGTGTGTAGTTGTGTGTCATTGTTGTGTTGTGTTGTTGTGTCGTGTTGTGTGTGGTTGTGTGGTTGTGTGTCGTCGTTGTGTTGTGGTTGTGCGTCGTTGTGTGTCGTTGTTGTGTGGTTGTGTGTGGTTGTGCGTCGTTGTGTGTCGTTGTGTGTCGTTGTTGTGTGGTTGTGTGTGGTTGTGTGTCGTCGTGTGTCATTGTGTGTCGTTGTGTGTCGTGTGTGTGGTTGTGTGTTGTGCGTCGTTGTGTGTGTGTCGTCGTGTGTCGTTGTGTGTCATTGTGTGTGGTCGTGTGTCATTGTGCGTCGTTGTGTGTGGTTGTGTTGTCGTGTTGTGTGTCGTTGTGTTGTTGTGTGTTGTTGTGTGTCGTGTGTCGTTGTGTGTCGTGTGTTGTTGTGTGTGTTGTGTTGTTGTGTGGTGTGCGTCGTTGTGCGTCCTGACCCTGTACTTGTTGACGTAGTCTCCGCTCACACTGTTCTGCCACATTTCTTCCGCCGTCTTCGGCGTCTCTGGGAGTTTGGGCGATTTCTTGGCGTCTCTTCGTTCTTTCGGGGCGACCCACTCGGCGTCCGGCTCCCGACTCCGCTCCTGAAACACACACACACACAACACACACACACACACACACAGACACACACACACACACACACACACAACACACACACACACACTCAGGTCATCAGGAAATTTTCATCGTTTTTGTTGTAAATTAAAAGTGTGAGACGGAGAAAAGCTCGATCCAAACGTCCATCAGATTAAAGTCGATTAATCGTGTTGTGTGTGGTTTTAAAGTTGAAATGTGAACTTGATGATTTGAACAGAAGTGAAGTGTGAAAGTTTCATGAGGAACATTCACGACCGAACAGCAGCAGCACCGACTTTGTTTGGTTTGTTTGGTTTTTCTTCCTTGTCTTGTGTCTTTGAGTGGTTCTTTTCTTCCAGGAGCAGTGGGCGGCTCACGGGGCCCGACTTCAGGATCTGGTTCTGGGTTTGGTCTGGGCCTGAGCTGGAGGATGTTTTGGGTTTTGGGTTTAAGGTTTTGGGGGAAACCGGAGGAAACATGCAAACTCCTCACAGAAAGGCTCCGGCGACCGGGAATCAAACCTGAAACCTTTTTGTTGTGAAGCCTCAGACACTCAGCCACCTACAGGCCCTTCATTGCTGCTTGCGGGTGTAACTGGTTGGACAGATTGAGGCTGTTGGTGTTTGGATTTATTTACACACGACATATGTGGGCGGAGCCTCGTACAAACTCGTAGTGTGGGAGCGTGTGGGGGCGGAGCCTCGTACTGCTAACTATACAGAGGGTTTGAGTATGAGAGATCTCTAGATGACTCAAACACACATGGGTGAGCTCCTCAGACAGGTGTGTGACAGGGGAGGGTGGGGTGACAGGGGAGGGTGGGGTGACAGGGGCGCACCTTGGCGGCAGGTGAGGCGCGGTGAGGACTGGAGGCCACGCCCACCGTCAGTTTGCCTCCGCCCAGTTTCTCCTCTGACATCACACGGTCCCTCTCCTCCTCCTGGCAGGCTCTGAAACGACAGGAGCGCACCTGTCACAACCTGACACACACACACACACACACAGGAGCGCACCTGTCACAACCTGACACACACACACACACAGGAGCACACCTGTCACAACCTGACACACACACACACACAGGAGCGCACCTGTCACAACCTGACACACACAGGAGCACACCTGTCACCCCCTGACACACACACACACACAGGAGCGCACCTGTCACAACCTGACACACACACACAGGAGCGCACCTGTCACAACCTGACACACACACACAGGAGCGCACCTGTCACAACCTGACACACACACACAGGAGCGCACCTGTCACACCCTGACACACACACACACACGAGCGCACCTGTCATAACCTGACACACACACACACACACACACACAGGAGCGCACCTGTCATAACCTGACACACACACAAACACACACACACAGGAGCGCACCTGTCATAACCTGACACACACACACAGGAGCGCACCTGTCACACCCTGACACACACACACACACAGGAGCGCACCTGTCACCCCCTGACACACGGGGGGGGGGTTTTACCTCGAGGAATCGCTGCAGATCCACGTCGTACTGTTTCTTTTTCTACGGAAACAAAAAATGTTCAGAGAAAAGATTTTTACAGAAGAAGAAGAAGAGCTCATCTTCAGTACGTCAGGAGGGTGGAGTACCCGCTTGGGGGGTGGAGTACTTGTGTAGGAGGGTGGAGTACCCGTGTGGGGGGTGGAGTACTTGTGTAGGAGGGTGGAGTACCCATGTCGGGGGTGGAGTACCCGTGTGGAGGGGGGAGTACTCGTGTCGGGGGTAGAGTACCCGTGTGGAGGGGGGAGTACCCGTGTGGAGGGGGGAGTACCTGCTCGCAGCGCTTCTGGAACATGTCCTTCTCTTTCTGGTTCATGAGTTTCCACTGTTTGCTGCACAGAACCATCCGCTCGGTGCTCGGGACGTCCTTCATGTTCACCATCAACTCCGCGCAGTACAGAGAGTACCCGTTACTACAACACAAACACCACAGAGAGTACCCGTTACTACAACACAAACACCACAGAGAGTACCCGTTACTACAACACAAACCACACACAGAGAGTACCCGTTACTACACACACAGAAACACCACACACAGAGAGTACCCGTTACTACAACACAAACACCACAGAGAGTACCCGTTACTACAACACAAACACCACACACAGAGAGTACCCGTTACTACAACACAAACACCACACACAGAGAGTACCCGTTACTACAACACAAACACCACAGAGAGTACCCGTTACTACAACACAAACACCACACACAGAGAGTACCCGTTACTACAACACAAACACCACAGAGAGTACCCGTTACTACAACACAAACACCACAGAGAGTACCCGTTACTACAACACAAACACCACACACAGAGAGTACCCGTTACTACAACACAAACACCACACACAGAGAGTACCCGTTACCCTTACAGATACCCACACAAACAACACACACACAGAGAGTACCCGTTACTACAACACAAACACCACAGAGAGTACCCGTTACTACAACACAAACACCACACACAGAGAGTACCCGTTACTACAACACACCACCACAGAGAGTACCGTTACTACAACACAAACACCACAGAGAGAGTACCCGTTACACAACACAAAACACCACAAGAGTACCCGTTACTACAACACAAACACCACAGAGAGTACCCGTTACTACAACACAAACACCACAGAGAGTACCCGTTACTACACACAAAACACCACACACAGTGTTACACACAGTGATGTTACTTGGTGGGGGGGTCATGTGACTTACGGCGGCGGTTTGGTGGGGGGGTGTGGTCATGTGACTTACGGCGGCGGTTTGGTGGGGGGTGTGGTCATGTGACTTACGGCGGCGGTTTGGTGGGGGGGTGTGGTCATGTGACTTACGGCGGCGGTTTGGTGGGGGGTGTGGTCATGTGACTTACGGCGGCGGTTTGGTGGGGGGTGGTACGCGGGGTGGTGGGGGTCATGTGACTTACGGCGGCGGTTTGGTGGGGGGGTGTGGTCATGTGACTTACGGCGGCGGTTTGGTGGGGCGTCCGTCGAACTTGTCCTTGAGTTGACGTTCTGCTTTGGTGAGGACCGAGCGAACGTGGTCGTCGGCCGTGAGGTCGGGGTGAGCCTCGTGGTACGCCCGCATACTGTCCTACAACACAACACACGTACTGCAGTATGTGGAGTACTGCGGTATGTGGAGTACTGCGGTATGTGGAGTACTGCAGTCTGTGGGGTACTGCGGTTACTGCGGTATGTGGGGTACTGCAGTCTGTGGAGTACTGCGGTATGTGGAGTACTGCGGTATGTGGGGTACTGCGGTATGTGGGGTACTGCGGTATGTGGGGTACTGCGGTATGTGGGGTACTGCAGTCTGTGGAGTACTGCGGTATGTGGAGTACTGCGGTCTGTGGGTACTGCGGTCTGTGGGGTACTGCAGTCTGTGGGGTACTGCAGTCTGTGGGGTACTGCAGTATGAGTAGTACTACAGTATATGTAGCACTGCAGTCTGTTTAATATTTTGTATTTACAGTATTGGCAGTATTTGTACCTCATAGTACATGTAGGGGTATGTAGTACCTTGTAGGTACTTGTACCTTGTGGAGTGTGTGTATTTCAGACTCCAGTGTCCAGGACTGTCATGTTTGTTCATGAACACACTCTGTCCCAATCAAATAAATAAATATATAAATAAATAAAGTAGCATGTGTAGTAGTATGTAGTACTTGCAGTACCTCGTAGTATGTGTACTACATGTAGTACATGTAGTACTTGCAGTACCTCATAGTGTGTGTAGTAGTATGTAGTACATGTAGTACATGTAGTACTTGCAGTACCTCATAGTGTGTGTAGTAGTATGTAGTACATGTAGTACATGTAGTACTTGCAGTACCTGGTAGTGTGTGTAGTAGTATGTAGTACATGTAGTACATGTAGTACTTGTAGTACTTGCAGTACCTCATAGTCCTTCTGTAGTTCCAGGGCTTTGCTGATCCATTTGAGGCGTCGTTTGTCTGAGAGTTGAGACCACTGCCTCCTGAGAGCCTCCTTCAACTCCTTCTGACTCACCTGTACAAGTACAAGTACAAGTACTGCAGTATTACCATCAACTCCTTCTGACTCACCTGTACAAGTACAAGTACAAGTACTGCAGTATTACCATCAACTCCTTCTGACTCACCTGTACAAGTACAAGTACAAGTACTGCAGTATTACTATCAACTCCTTCTGACTCACCTGTACAAGTACAAGTACTGCAGTATTACTATCAGCTCTATCAGTATTTGCAGTAGTAATAATATTAGCAGTAGTAACAGTAGTAGTAGTGCTTGCAGTAGTAGTACT